AAACAAGACAAGGATGCTCACTTTCACCACTTCTATTCAACATTGTATTGGAAGTCCTAGGAACAGCAATAAGACAAGAAAAAGAAATAAAAGGCACCCAAATTGAAAAGAAGGAAGCAAAACTGTAATTGTTTGCAGATGACATGATAGTTTATATAGAAAATCCTACAGATTCCACAAAAAAACCACTCAACCTAATAAGTGAATTTGGCAAAAGAGCAGGATACAAAGTCAATATTCAGAAATCAAAGGCATTTTTGTATATCATCAATGAAATAAGACAAACAGAAATCAGGAAAAAAAAAACATTTGATAAAGCAACAAGAAAAATATGGTACCTAGGAATAAACCTAACCAAGGAGGTAAAAACTTACACTCAAAACCTATACAACACTGAAGAAAGAAATTAAGGAAGATACAAACAAATGGAAACACATACTGTGTTCATGGATCAGAAGAATTAACATCATCAAAATGTCCATATTATCCAAAGTGATTTACAGATTCAATGCAATCCCTATTAAAGTACCCATGACATATTTCAAAGATATGTAACAAATATTTCAAAAATTTATATGGAACCATACAGGACTCTGAATAGCTGTAGCAATTTTGAGAAAAACAAGGTAGGAGGGATTGTACCTGATATCAAACTGTATTATAAAGCCACTGTCAACAATACAGCCTGATAATGGCGTAAGAACAGGCACATATACCAATAAAACAGAATAGAGAGCGCAGAAATAAACCTAGTCTCTTGGTCAATTAATATTTGATGAAGAACGAAGAAGCAAAAAATGGAGTAAAAATAGCCTCTTCAACAAATGGTACTGGGAGATCTGGACAGCTGCATGCAAAAAAATGAAACTCGAAAACCAACTTACACCATACACAAAAACAAATTCAAGGTAGATAAAAGACTTTAATGCAAGTCATGACACCATAAAAGTCCTAGAGAAAATCATCAGCTGGAAAATCTCAGACAGTCCACACAGCAACATCTTCAATGATATGTCTCCTAAAGCAAGGAACATAAAGGGAAGAATAAACAAATGGGACATCATCAAATTAAAAAAGCTTGTGCATGGCTAAAGAAGACAGCATTGAAATGAAAAGAGAACTATATGGGAAAACTTGTTTGCCAATGATACCTCGGACAAGGATTTGATCTCCAAAATATATAAAAAACTCACAGAACTCCACTCCAGGAAGACAAAAAACCCAATTAAAAAATGGAACAAAGACTTGAACAGACACTTCTCCAAGGAGGAGACAGAAAGAGCCCAGAGACAGATGAAAAGATACTCAGCATCACACAGATGCGAATTAAAACCACAATGAGATACCACTTCGCACAGGTCAGAATGGCCATCATAAACAAATCAACAAACAACTGTCGCAGAGGATGTGGAGAAAAGATACCCTAGTGCACTATTCATGGGAATTGGAGACTGGTACAGCTACTGTGGAAAATAGTATGGAATTTCCTCAGAAAACTAAAAATGGAACTTCCTTTTGACCTGAGTATTCCGCTGCTAGGATTATATCCTATGAACCCTGAAACACCAATCCAAAATAACCTATGAACCCCAATGTTCATAGTAGCACAATCGCAACAGCCAAGTGCTGGAGGCAACCTAAGTGCCCATCAGTAAATGAATGAAAAAACTATGGTACATTAACACAATGGAATTCTATGCAGCAGAGAAAAAGCAGGAGCTCCTACCCTTTATGACAGCATGGATGGAACTGGAGAGCATTATGCTAAGTGAAATAAGCCAAGCAATAAGGGGTAAATACCATATGATCTCACCTTTAACTGGAACATAACCAACAAAAGAAAAAAGCAAACAAATATAACCAGAGACACTGAAGTGAAGAACAATCTGACAGTAATCGGGGGGAGGAGGGATGAAGGTAATGGGGAGAACGGTTTTCAGGAACAAGTATAAAGGACAGATGGACAAAACCAAGGGAGAGAGTGAAAGCGAGGGAGGGACGGAAGGAGGGAGGTTTGACTGGGGTTGGGGAGGAATCATGTGGGGAAAATGCAGAGAAGTGTAACTGAACAATAATAAAATAATTTTTCTTAAAAAGGTAAAGACATCTAAATTAAATTCAAGGAAAATTGTTAAGTATGCAATCAATGTTTAATTAAGAATTGCAAGTTTCCATTAACCTTATCTTCACTCCTGTCTTAAATTTAGATTTTAACTAATACGTTTTTTTAAACTTTACTTTTATCTTAAAAAGTTACTTTAGCATTTACTACATAAATCTGATGCCAAACGAGAACACTATGAATAGTTTTCATTTGGATGTATTTAAAAACAAATTCTCTTTCATTTTCATGTTTAAGAAAATGATAAGATAGATAAATAAATAAATAAATAAAATCCTTTTTTTTGAGGCCCTGGCCCACAACCCATGCATATGCCATGACTGTGAATTGAACCAGCGATCCTTTGGTTCACAGGTCCACACTCAATCCACTGAGCCACACCAGCCAGGGCATAAATAAAAATCTTACAAAGAAAAAAAAAAGAAAGAAAAGAAATATGGCCCAGATGAAACAGCAAATCAGAACTCCAGAAAAAGAGCTAAACAAAAAGGAAATAAGCAACCTGTCAGATGCACATTTCAAAACACTGGTTATAAGGATGCTCTTAGTGAGGACCCAACAGCATAAAAAAGATCCAGTCAGAAACAAAGGATACACTAATTAATATAAAAAACATCCCTGGCTGGTATAGGTGAGTGGATTGAGCACGGGCCTGCAAACCAAACAACCACGGTTCAATTCCCAGTTAGGGCACATGCCTGGGTTGCAGAGGACACAAGAGAGACAACCATACATTGATATTTCTCTCCCCCTCTCTTTCCCTTCCCCTCTAAAGATAAATAAATAAAATCTTGAAAGAAAGAAAGAAAGAAAGAGAACAAGTTAGAGGGAAACACCAGTAGAGTGGCTAACGCTAGAATCAAATCAAGATTTGGAACATAAAAAGCAAAAAGCAACCAATGAGAACAACAAGAAAAAAAAAGATTCCGAAAAAAATCAGTATAGTGTAAGCAGCCTCTGGGACAACTTCAAGAGGTCCAGCTTTCACATCATAGGGGTACAGAAGGAAAAGAGAAAGAACAAGAAATTGAAAATCTATTTGAAAAAATAATGAAAGAAAACTTCCCTAATTTAATGAAGAAAATAGACGTGCAAGTCCGGGAAGCATAGAAAGTCCCAAACAAGATGGATGCAAAAAAGGCCCACTCCAAGACAAATCATAATTAAAATGCCAAAGGTTAAAGGTAAAGAATCTTAAAAGCAGCAAAAGAAAAGCAGATAATAACTACAAAGGAGTTCCTATAAGACTGCCAGTTGATTTCTCAAAAAAATTTTGCAGGCTAGAAAGGACTGGCAAGAAATAGTCATGAAAAGCATGAACCTACAGCCAAGATTGCTATATCCAGCAATGCTATCTTTTAGAATCAAAGGGTAGATGTCTATGCTTCCCAGACAAGAAAAAAACTAAAGGAGTTCATCATCACCAAACCATTACTACATGAAATGTTAAAGGGACTTATTTAAGAAAAAGAAGAAAATCAAGACTATAAACAATAAAATGGCAAAAATACTACCTATCAACAATTGAATCAAAAAAACAAACTAAGCAAACAAGAAGAACAGAGACAGAATTATGGATACAGAGAATGTTTTGACGGTTGCCAGATGGTAGGGGTGTGTGGGGGAATGGGTGAAGTGGTGAGATTAAAAAGTACAAATAGTTGTAGCTCAATGGATTGAGTGAGGGCCTGTGAACCGGAGTATCGTGGTTCTATTCCCAGTCAGGGCACATGCCTGGGTTGCAGGCCAGTTCCCAGCAGGGGACACAGGAGAGGCAACCATACATTGATATTTCTCTCCCTCTATCCTTCCCTTCCCCTCTAAAGATAAATAAATAAAATCTTTTAAAAAAAGTACAAATAGGTAATCACAGAAGAGCCATGGGGAATGGGGATATAAGAGACAGTATAGGAAATGGAGTAACCAAAGAACTTACACACATGAACCATAGATATAAATAATGGTGTGAGGATTATCTGAGAAGTGGTGGGTGCTCAGTGGTGGAGGGAAAAGAGGAAAAAAATCAGGACAACTGTAACAGCATAATCAATAAAATTCAATTAAAAAATAAAAGTTTACTTCAATGTAAAAAAAAAAAGGTTAAGCAACCCTCATTCACCAATGGTAGGAATGTAAACTGGTAGGTACAGCCGCTATGGAAAAGAGTGTGTAGGTTTCTCAAAAAACTAAGAATAGTAACCATATGACCCAGCAACTTCTCTCCTGGGTATCTATCTAAAAAATTTAAAAACATTTATTCACAACAAAAAAATGCACCCCTAAATTCACTGCAGCATTACTAATGGTGGCCAATACATGGAAACAACCAAAGGCCAAGAGACAGAAACAACCAAAGTGTCCTTTGACAAATAACTGGATAAAGATGTGATACATATATACTATGGAATACTACTCAGCTATAAGAAAAGATACATAAATAAAAATAAATAAGATATGGCCATTTCCAAAAAAAATGGAAGGTTCTTGAGAATATCATGCTAAACCAAATAAGTATGACAGAAAAATTAAGAACCATATGATTTCACTCATATATGGGATATTAAACTGAAAGCAACAAATAAACAAACAAGAAAAGCGAAAACTCATAGACACAGAGAATAGAGAATAGTGTGTTTACCAGAAGGAAGTGGGGTGGGGGTTAATAAAGGATAAACGGGGACAAATATATGGTGCAGAAGATTTGATTTGGGCATATACACAATGAAATATACAGATGATGTATTATAAAATTGTACATGTGAAACCTATATAATCTTATTAACCAACCTTACCCCCTAAACTTAATGAAAAAAAAAATAACATAAAGAAGAACGTGGAGTCAGTTAAAAAACTAACAGAATCAAGGGACAAGACCTACCATCTGAGGGAGTTTTCCCTTCCTTCTTCTCTTTCAATGTCTTCTGAGGTTTTGCTCCAGGAGATAGACCTTTAAAAAGTCACAGATTTTACCACACTCATATGTTTAGTATTTATATTTTACATATATGTGTCTGCCATTCTCATGAGTAGAGGTCATTTTTCCTAAGCTCAGAGGAAGCTATTCACCTTTGTGTCTCAGCTCCACCTGAGTACTTCAATCAGTGCTTTACCATATCAGACACTCAAAAGTGCCTCTTTTTAAGCAAAAAGTTTCAATTTATATACCAGGGTCATGTGTATATCAGGGTTGTGTCTGCTTACAGAATAATCCTGATATATTTCCACTCTGTTAAATCATATTCCACTCTGTAGAATACATTGTACAGTATGTTTTCATGTAGTCAAGATATAGGAGTAAATACTGCGCCAGTGATTCTTAATCTGGCTTACCCCATGCTTCTCTGAAGTATCCATTAATTCCCTGAAATTGCATATACAATGTTATATAAATGTATAAATGTGCATTTTGTGGGGGACTCCACAGTGTTCAATTATCAGTCTATAAACCAAAAAAGGAAAAAAAAATACAACATAAGTCTCTCATGCCTGAGTAAAATTAAACAGGGAACTTGCCCACAAGGAAGCCCAGCAGGGTCCTGCACTTCCCCACCACCACAGCGTTAACTTATTTTAGGGGGCAGGAGGTGTACCTCTGTGTTCCTCTCCCATCTGCCTTGTGGCATCCCCTTTGATCCGAGCAGCCAGCTCATCAGCAAAGGTTGTGGGTTTTCTCTACAGGCAGAAGAGACCAAATCACTTTTTGCAACATATGAACTAGTACAGTTTACTTTTGAATACCTTACCAAATTTTGCAAATAATTATACAGAAATTGAAATGAGAAAACGGGGTTTAACTAAATGAGTTTAAACATACCCTCCCTATATACAGATCACCTGAGAAACAGGATTCAGTGTTCCTCTGAAGGCAGATGCTTCATGTTTTATTTTATTTTTTTAGATTTCAAAGAGCTAGATAAGAAAACTGTCATGAAGTCCTTGGGGTCAGGGAAGGAGGAGGAGTATTAAAGGTCTTAAAATTCTAAAACTGACTGAATATATTTTGAATCATCTGACTTGTAAAATTCAAACATTTGAAAGAGAAGAATTGACACGTGAAAAGCAACTTGGAATGCTCAACCATTAGTTTTAAAAGTAAACGAAAATACAAATATAATATAAAACAATTACAGTTATAAATAACAATAACAATGAGTTTTAGGTGCCACTTCTATACTTAGCCAAGAGATGGCAACTATGTTGTTTCTTACAGGTCTAGTATTTTCTTCAATGTCCTCAATATCTTCCTCCTCCTTCTCAGAGTCAGCGAAAATGTCACAACCATCATCATCCTCTTCTTCATCACTCATTTGCTCAGTGTGCTGAGTATAAACCACCAGATTAGAACTGTTAGATAAGATCAAGCTAAAAAAGAAATACTGCTACTTAGCCTTTAGGCAAAATGGTAACTGTTAAATGCAGCAAAAGTTATGAAGCAGTACATATGTCAGGACAAATAATATACAAATTTATTTTTAGCACAAGAATATAACAGCAAAATGAAATACTAAAAACATCCATACTACAGAAATGATTAAACTAAATAAGTATCATCTTATCTTAATAAGAATACTAATAGTTTAAAAAATAATCTATAACAATTGAAGAGATATCCAAGGCATCGAGTGAAAAAACTGAATGATAAACCCAGTATGATACTCTGCACCCCCCTCATCCCTACATTATCTCCACAGGCACAGATATACTTGTAAAAACAAAGAAAAACACTTGGACATGCATACTCATAGATCGTAACACCAATTACCTCTGGAGAGTGTGAAAAGATGGAAGACTGATGGCTGAAACTCTGCATCAGACTATGCTAAACTCTTTAGAACTCTGAGGTTAGCTATGGTACACAAATCCAGTCTATCTTTAACAACACAAACAAATGATTAACCCAGTGCTTTTAATCACTATACTGTTTTGTTTGAAAAACTGAATTTACAGATCTTAATAGTAAATTCCACAAAAAAAAATGTGGCTTAATCATTAAAATTATAGAGACTAGCCACATTTATGAATTCAATTGGGAAAATACAAATACCAACCAGAAAGTAATAAATGCTTCATTTGACACTTGAAAACTTATATGAAAAATATTTCTCAATTAAGAAACAAATGCAAACTGGGACAATCTCTATATATGGCTATACATATATTATGGTAACAAAAATCATAATCCCAGTGCTGAGGAGATTGCAGAAAAATTGTTATGCGGGATCTGTAATCTGGAATGTCCATAAACAGCCTTTACTATAATTCTATACCACTTATGCCTAAGGAAACAGTTCGCATAAGCAAATGACTTTTATGTATGAAAATACCGAATACATCATTATCTCAAAAATAAAGTACTGAAAACAAACTATTTTCCATACACATTTAGAGACCATGGCAATATCAGATATTAGTGTGCTTAAAAACAGTTTACAAAGCAAATTATGGTACAAAGACTATTTAAAATGACAAGAACAAAGAAACATTTATATTAAGTACCAAAAAATAAATTACATATATATTACAAAAAGAGTATGTCCTTGGAAGGATAACGAAAAACTAAGACAATGATACAAAAACAGTAAGATTAGAAGGTTTTCATCCTTTAAGTGTTCATGTTACTGCTATAGTGTCTTAAATTTTAAAACAAGGGAGAGAAATTCAGTTTACATAATTGGGCCTTCTTTGAGAGGCTCTGTTCCCGATTTTGTTTTTTCCTTCTTTTTTTCCCCTAAGAAAAATTAACTTAAAACATAAAGTAAAATTTTTTAAAATATATACAAGAGAAATTAGCCTAAAAATAGGAAATGCTTGAAGGAAAATTAGTTGTAAATATGAATAAATCCTTATTTTCAAGTAAGTTGTTCAAAAATAATTTACAATCCATTTAGTATATATGCTATGTTTCAAATGACATTTAAAAGTAAAATCACTTTAATACATGGGCCTTACCTGGTTCTGACCACTGTCACTATGACTGGCAAAATCTTCATCTGACTCCTTTAGGAGGAAAAAGGCTCTGTTGTTAATAGAGGCTTTACTCAGAAGCACAGTAAATTTTGGCTCTAAGCCTTTGGAGCTCATCAACACTTGGTCTCTGTACTGATTACTGGTCACCTGAAGTATCGACGACAGCTGGCTGTATCGCCAAGGACTGTTCTACTTCACATGTAATATTTTATGGTTAATTAAAATATCTTTAGCAATTTGTTCATTTCTCTCTATTAAATTTGAAGTACAAGTTGCACATTTAACTAACTTAATTATCCAAAGTTGGTTTGTGTTATTTTACCTTTTAGACTCTACTATTTATATTCCCTTTTAACAGGGTAACTAGTTCATCAGGCCCAAGAAAGGAACATTAGTACTTGCCACCAGCAATTACATAAAGACTTATATTGATGGCTAAAAGCAAAGGATTCACTAATGACCATCAGTTATAGGGAAGTTATTTAAGGAAAACTTATTTCATACTATTAGGTGTTCTGTTCAGAGGGCTGGCTAAAAGAGAGCAGGGGAAGAGGATGGGAGAAAAAGAAGTATATGCATTCAATCCTATCTCCTTTTAGAAATCCATGCTCAAATGTTTCTATCCTTTGCAATAACAAATATTACATCTAAAGGAACAAAGCCAGATACAACAGCGGTCAAGGTCCACGCACCCTGAGTCCCTAGAGCTAGGAGCCAGATTATACTCTGGATATGAAGATGGTAGTGGCAACAACAAAGCTAAAACATAAGTGGATGCTTTCAGTATTTTTCTGGTCTAGAAGGTTTTGTAAGAAAAGTTTCAAATCTGAACATGTTTTTCCTAGAATTATTCAAAGACAGAACTTACTCAGAGACTGTATCTGAGGAAAGATCCCACCAAAATACTTAAGCTGTCCCCCTCCAAACACATTGGTGAAAAGAGGATTGGGTGAGGGAGGTGGAAGGGAGGGAAACCATGAAAGAGATTAAAGCAGTTTTTCTTTAATCTCTTACTGTCTCCCCAAACAATAAGGAAATCCAATCCCAAGAGAAAAACTTCAGAAAATGGCTTCTATCACTGTTAAAAGATTTATGAAAACAAACTGCTATTGCACAATCATGTATTTACTTAGTCTGCTAAACACATCCTAAATTTTCTGCCATTCATGACCTGGACACACTAAACAGTCCTTACCTCCTCTTCATTCTCTTCTTCACTGTCCACAACGCTACCACGATCACTGCCTACTGAACCTTCTATTTAGAACAAAGATAAGGGTTACCACCAATATTCATAAGAAAATGTAATTAGTTTCTTCTGAAAATCATAAACCACCATATTATCAGCATCACAGAAATGTTGGTAAAACTATCTGTACCATTAACTGGAATTAAAATTATCTGCACTATAGCAATGAATGAAATATTTATATAGCCCCAAAGTATTTCCCCACAAAATACTTAATATTTACAAAAAAATGTACTAACTACAAAGCAAAAAAAATTGGCCTATACTCTTCAAAGATGTCATGGTTGTGAAAAGCAAAGCAAGTATTTTGGGGTTTTTTTTGACAACGAAATGCAGTGAGTGACCCTGGACTGTATCCCTACATCAGAGGAAAGAAGTGACTATAAAGGACATCACTGGGACAACTAGAAAATATGAATGTGACTCAGGATTAGCTAGTAGTATTATGTCCAATAAAATTTCCTGGCTTTGATCATTTTAGGGTGGCTATGTGAGAGAAATGTCCTTATTCTTAGAAAACAGGCACAGAATATTTAGGAGTGATAGGGCATAATATCTGTTTGATGTCTGTCAAATAGGTTCAGAAAAAAATTAAATATATTGAGAGAGAAAAAGATTAAACAAATATGGTGAAATGTTAACAACGGTATAGCTGGGTAAAGGGTATGTGGGAGTTCTTGATGCTAATCTTACAATATTAATGTAAAGTTTGAAATCAGAAAATTTTAAAATAAAAAGTTAAGATGTAACTATTAAAAGTAATAGAAGTATTTGGTGCAAAGTATACCTTCACTGGATAGCTCTCCAAGGCCTACATCTTCTTGTTCCATGAACAGCTTTGACCCAATTAAATAAGGTAAAGGACGATCAATGTATAGATCCTGGAAAAAATGTTGGAAAATAAGCCATTAAATATTTAGGTTGAAAAATAAAATTAACTTTCCCATTTGATATCTTGTTTCATCTGACTACCCCCCAAAACCTACATAATAAAGGCAGATTGAAAGACAAACACCATATGACCTCACCTGTAAGTGGAACCTAATCAACAAAACAAACAAGCAAGCAAAATATAATCACAGACCCTGAAATAAAGAACTGACAGTAACCAGAGGGGAGGTGGGAGGGAATAATGGGAAAAAGGGAGAAGGATCATCAGAGAACATGTATATATAAAGGACACACAGACAAAGCCAAAAGGGGGTAGAATCAAGGGCAGGAGGTGGGGATGGCTGGGGTAGGGGGAAGTGGAGGGAGCAAAAGGGAAACAACAGTACTTTAACAATTTTTAAAAATTCAGCCCTGCCTGGTGTAGCTCAGTGGATTGAGCACGGGCCTGTGAAGCAAAGGGTCGCTGGTTCAATTCCCAGACAGGGTACATGCCTGGGTTGCAGTCCAGGTCCCCAGGAAAGGACACATGAGACACAACCACACATTGATGTTTTTCTCCCACTCTTTCTCCTTCCCTTCCCTCTCTAAAAATAAACAAATAAAATCTTTTAAAAAAATAAATAAATTCATATATAGTTAACTTTAAAATCCAAAAAAAATAAAAAATCATAAAGCAGTGACTAAGAAACACAGCAGGATTAAAAGTCAAATTAAAAAAAAACCACACACTAATTTCAAAAAGTCACATTCTACGTAAAGATGGCAAAAAGAGGATGAATCAGACAAGTGCTAAGTTATATTATATTATAGGCCTATAAAAGCCTATAAAACATTTACTAACAGTAATCAAACAGGGAAAGGGGCACAACTTCATAGCGTCATGTTCAAAAGGAGGTGGACCAAGAAATCAAAAATTATGAACACTGTGGTACATAGGTTCTTTTGGATTGGTGTTTCAGGACTCTTAGGATAATAATCCCAGCAATGGAACTGCTAAGTGAAATAAGCCAGGCAGTCAGGGACAAATACCACATAATCACACCTTTAACTGGAACATAATCAACAAAAGAAAAAAGCAAACAAAAATATAACCAGAGACATTGAAATTAAGAACAATCCAACAATAACCAGAGGGGAGGGAGAGGGGACAATGGGGGAAAGGGTTTTCAGGAACACATGGATGAAACCAAGGGGGAGGGTGGAAGCAAGGGAGGGAGGTGGGTTTGTCCGGGGTGGGGAGGAGTGGTGGGGCAAAATGTGGGCAACTATAATTGAACAAAAATAACTAAAAATTAAAAAATTAAAAATAAAAGAAATCAGAAATTCTAGCAAGCTTTAATGACTCCTAGTCCTACCTTCCACCCCTAAAAAGCAGCACTGATAAGCAAAAATCAACTAATTAATCTATCAATCTTGAGATTCCTCAATAAGAGTCCTGAATTTAGAGAGAAGCACATTGAGGAAATAATCCAAATAGTTTTTTATATAACTATGAGAAAGCAGGTGGGTATGTCCAGGTTTTAGGGAGGAGGTATGGACAAACATGTCACACACATGACATAAAGAGAATCAAGGAGTCCTTCACACTGCATCAGAACAGAGGAGAAGGCTGCAAGAGAGCACATAAAACACAGGCCAAATGAAAAAGAAAAACACAGAATGACAACTATGCAAATATCTACAGTCAACATAATGAACTTAATGTCTAAAAGATGGATGTGAACCTATCGGGAAGAAAAAAATATCTCAAGAAAGAGAACAATATATTCCCTAGAGGTTCACGTGATATAATTTAGAAAAGCAAAGTTGGTAAAATAAGACCAGATGATAAAACACCGGAATGAAATGAAAGAGACAAATGAAATGAAGCGCACATGACAATACATGTTGGAGACCTATCCATCACACACATTAAAAACTTAAGGACAAGAAAGTACTCCATCCCTAGACAACCTCCCATCTCCACTGCTGGAGGAAAAGCTGACTTGTCCTCTGAGAGGCATGATTCTTTGGCCACAACATCTCTTCTCTATGAAAAGACCCTGGGGGACAAGGGAGAAAAACACTGATGCTTTGCACAACAACAGAAAAGTTTGGGAAGGTTAATGAAAAATTAAGGATAAAACAGCAACCAGTATATTGCAAAGAAAAGAAAGTGAGAGGACTTCCGCCAAGATGGAGGCGCAGGTGGAAACACTTTGCCTCCTTGCACAACCAAATCTAAAAACAAAGTTTTAACAATAATAAACACAACCAAACCACAGAAAATTGAACAATACGGAGTCCAAACACAATGAACTGCTCAACTAAACTGGTGAGAGAGGCAAAACCAGCAGCAGAGTGGGTCAGGCAAAAAAGATCCCCTGACCTGGGCGGCGCACAGGCAGCCAAGGGCGTGGATCCCAGGTGCGGGGTAGCTACCAGTGGACCCAGGGAAGGCACGGCATGGCTGGCTGTCTGCAGTCTCGCATTTGCACGCAGATAAACCAGTGAAGAGACTAGCATTGGGACAGACCGCGCAGACCCCGGTGCAGGGCAGCGGGCTCACCCATTTGCGTTCAGATAAACAGGTGGGGGCAAGCGATGAGGCGGAGGGGGCAAGGAAAAAGGACCGCCATTGCTCCCTCTCTGACCCCGCCCCCACATACAGCGTCACAAACCAGCAACCTGGGTAGCCCCACCCTGGTGAACACCTAAGGCTCCGCTCCTCATACCTAACAGGCGTGAACAGATCAAAACATGGCTCAAGAACAACTGAGAGCCCCAGAGCCCATAAATCTAAGCAATGAAGAAATAGCCAAACTTTCAGATGCACAGTTCAAAACACTGGTGATCAGGATGCTCACAGAACTGGTTGATTTTAGTCAAAAATTAGAAAAACATATGAAGGCTAAACTAACTGAAATGAATGGAAATGCACAGGAAACCAATAGTAATGGAAAGGAAACTGGGACTCAAATCAAAGGAGTGGACCAGAAAGAGGAAAAAAAAATGACCAAACAGAAAAGGATGAAGAAACAAGAATTCAAAAAAATGAGGAGAAGAACCTTTAGGACTTCTTTAAATGTTCTAATATCCGAACTTTAGGGGTACCAGAGGGGAAGAGGAACAGCCACCAGTGGAAAACTTATTTGAACAAATAATAAAAGAGAACTTCCCCATTCTGGCAAAGGAAACAGACTTCCAGGAAATCCAGGAAGCTCAGAGAGTCCCAAACAAGTTGGACCCAAGAAGGAACACACCAAGGCACATCATCATTACATTAGCCAAGATTAAAATGAAGGAGAGAATCCTAGAAGCAGCAAGAGATAAGGGGACAGTCATCTACAAAGGAGTTCCCATCAGACTGTCAGCTGATTTCTCAAAAGACCTTACAGGCAAGAAGGGGATGGAAAGAAGTATTCCAACTCATGAAAACGAATGACCTACAACCAAGATTGCTCTATCCAGCAAAGCTTTCATTTAGAATGGAAGGACAGATAATGTGCTTCTCAGATAAGATCAAATTCAAGGAGTTCATCACCAAGCCCTTATTATATGAAATGTTAAAGGGACTTACCTAAGAAAAAGAAAATAAAAAAGATGAACAGTGAAAGGACAGCAAACTCACAGTTATCAACAACCACACCTAAAACAAAAGCAAATTAAGAGGACAACTAGATCAGGAGTAAACCATAGAAATGAAGATCTTGTGGAGGGTTAGCAACAGGGGAGTGGGAGATGGAGAAGGGGGTGAAGGTACAGAAAATAAGTAGCACAGACTTTAGATAGAAAATAGATAGGGGGAGGGTAAGAATAGTAGGGGAAATATAGAATCTAAAGAACTTGAGACACATGTTCATGAACTAAAGGGGGGGATGGTGGGGGAGGGGTGTGCAGGGTGGAGGGGAATGAAGGGGGGAAATAGAACAAATGTAATGGCATAATCGATAAAATAAAATTTTTTTTTAAAAAAAGAAAGTGATAATGCAGCTGTCTGCTGATTTAGAAGGCCTTCCCAAGTCCCCCTATAACAGAGAAAGTGGTGTGTCACTTGGAACTAACACATGTGGCCCAGGGAATACATTTCCTATGTTCTGTTGCTAACTTCTAAATCCCTACAGTAAAAGCACAAGCCAGCAAGTATAACAGTGCTAAAGGATCAGCCCCAAACTGAAGTTTGAGCTTCAGTCTGATACTGTAAGCTCAAACTGAAAAAGAAATGTATAGTTAAATGAATGACTAGAAGCGTTTGTTTTTGTGGCATGTTTCAATTTGTAGGGCACTTGAGTATCACAAGGATTCTCAAAAGCAATACAGCCACTTTCTGTTTTTGAGTGATTCTGGTGTTGCCCCAATTATCTCCTTTGCCAATCTGAGAGAAAGTAATAGTAAGCAATAAATACCTATTAGACTAATGGTCTGTTCATGCACATGCACAGCAGCTTTTTTTCTAACAGCTACAATCTGAAAAGAACCCACGTATCTTTCAACGTTTCCGCAGTCTCCCTTAGCACACAAGCTACAGAACTCAGGTTCCTCACAATCTCAACCTTTCATGAGTATTCTCATCTTCGAAACCCAATTTGAGTCTCATTTCTTCCGTAATTTCCCCAGCTTAGAGGTCAATTCTCTCTCAGGGTACTTATGATGGTGACTCTCACAACTGTCTGGTCTCCTCTCCCCACTGTCTGGTCAATTCTGCAATAAGCATTTTAAGAGTAGGAACCATGCCCTGAAACTTTGTGCTCCCCTAACTTGGCATGCAGCCTTTGACCTACTAAGTATTCAATCACTGCTTGTGCAAAGCAAGTTTTTCTGATGGAGTCAACAGAAGAATGCTAAGTGACATGTTTGGTTGCTGTAAGTCAAGTCCATGTCTTAGTAATTATGTGCCCAAATAAAGTATTCAAAACACAACAAGTATAACAATAAATATTTGAATTGCATGTCTTTACCTTTGGTTCAAGGATCAATTCTACCCGTTCATTAGCATCATCTTCCTCAGAGTCTGAGTTTCCTGCTTTTATATCTAGTTGTTCGAATGCACTGTCCAATACTCGTAAGCCATAGTTCACAGCCTCCTGAACTTTAGGAATCAGATCTACTTCTTTCTGTTCCCGGGTCTTCTCCTACAAAAAAATATTGTTCAGCATGGATCTTTGATATATTGATACCACCATAATAAAACACTGTGAATGTTCTCTAAAGCCCAGACTCATGCTCCAAAAAAATCTAAGTCAGACTCTGAGTAGACTTAGAAAAATGCAGACTCTAAGTAGATTGAGCGCAGGCTTGCAAACCAAAGCATCGCTGGTCTAACTACCAGTCAGGGCACACACCTGGGTTGCAGGCCATATCCCCAATATGGGATGTGCTAAAGGCAACCATACATTGATGTTTCCCTCCCTCTCTTCCCCATCTCTCTAAAAATAAATAAATAAAATCTTAAAAAAAAAACGCAGACTCTGATGAATACCTTAACATAGACTTTGGAGTAAGTTTAAATCCCAAGTTTATCACTTGTAGGACATGGATCAAAGTAAAGGTCCCAGAGCTCCACATTTATCATCTATGAAAACAAAACACTACTGCGTGATGGTTCAGCTAGATAACTGAGGTAAAAGTACAGTAACAATGAATGGCGTATCACAAGCCATCAAATGGCACTTCACTTCCCTGCTACAAGAGGAGTAAAGGGCCTCGAGTTTTAGCTTCACCATAACTGTATCCCACTATCCTTGGTTAATTAATTAATGGTGATTTGGACAATTTTAGGAATTAAAACCTAGAAGAAAATACCGTAGTCAGAGGTGTCATTTTTAAATTACAGTTAAAAATAATAATTGGACAATTACAACTATTTCATAAATTTGTTTCAAACCAAGAAAGGGTTTCATCTCTAATCTACCCTGTTCATCACCCTAAGAACAATCTTCCTACCCAGAAGTCTCTATTAAAACACCAATCTGCTAAAATTAGTCCACAGGTCTCCCCTTCCTATAACAGGCAGCTCTTAGTGACAGTCCCTCAATACATTCAACTATGTTATTAATTGCAAGAAATACTGAAAAAAATGTAGTGTCATTTCCCCTCTTCACAAATATTCTAGAAAGTGATACATAATTATAGAAGGAGCCAAACCATACAGTGCTGTTTTGAGGGCCAAAAGGGAAAGTCCAACAAGAATTTTATACTTTTATCTCAAATATGAAAGTGTTTCTAATTTAGCCTCTGTTTTAGTTGCATCTGGTATGCTTGCTTCTAAATAAGTAGCACAGTACTAAGTGTGTGGAATGTTTGTGACATAAATATGTAGTAGCTTTTTGAAAATAGTTCACTAAATACTTTCACTTCGCAATTGATCTTTGTCTTGGTATAAGGATACTATTGCATGTTAAACAGTTAGCAAACCCTTGAGTACTATAAAAAATAGTAATATTAAAAAACTTATGTTTAAAAAAGGCTAGGAATAGGGAGAACTGTAGCTTGTTTCTAATATCCCTTCCTAGTCTAAGAGTTTCATATGTTACGAGTAACAGTTACTGATAAAGTACCAACTTTTTCAAGTGATTTATATTTTCTAAACAAGTTAGAGCTGAATCAAAGCTACTCCCATAATAAACTCAGTTACATACCATTGTGCTTTCCTGAGTGCAAGGTACAGGGTACAACTTCTGCTAGAGAGTCAAGAACATTTATCTAGCCTTTGGCCTACGATGTGAGAACCCAGGAAGAATAATACAGTAAGTCACAGAGGGGAAAAAGGTAGGGACTGCTGCCCCTCAACTCCTCAGCCCGATAAAGTCCTCCAGTTTCTACCCCTCTCTCTTTAACCTTCTTCTTCATAAAATACTAGGTACCTCACCTAACTTGTTCGAACCTTAGTTTATGGCACTCTTTTTTGCTAAAGTGGCCTTAAAAGCTGGCCTTTCTTTCCTTAGCTAACATCTCATATTTGAAACTTTTCTCTGCTATCTTACCCAACTGAGCTCTTTCACACCTGAACTTTCATAACAGTCAGCAGCCATAAAGCTCTGACATGCTATATCCTGTGACCCCAACAAGACTGCAACCTCCTCAGATCAGTCTCTCCACATCACCAGCTCCCTGCAATCTTCCCAGAGTCAATAACATTCACTCCACCACCTTCATCCTCTGTACTAACATATCCTGCAGCACTTAGGTAGCATTCCAATGTGTGTGGTCTATCCAGCATTCATCTTATTGTCGCTTTTAACTGGCAGGAATAAGAAGCAAAGGGGTCATGAAAGAATAGGTTAAAAAGTCTTTGAAGAACTTACAGATTACAGTTCAGCCTCTGGCCTGTTCCTCTGGAGCTCTTTGTGTAAAAAGGCTTTTTATATTTTTAAAGGGAAGGGGGAAAAGGAAAATGAATAAAAGAAAAAAGACTAAGAAGAGACAGAACAATGAGGCCAGCAAAACCTAAAATATTTACTGACTAGCCTTTCATACAAAACCTCTGCTGAACTGGGCTCTATTCTTAAGCCAGAATGTAGGAACTTTACTACATATTTCTTAATATACTAAATTTCAGAAGTAAAAGAGTTTAAATGCTAGGCTAACAAAAGCCATCTTCCCTATTTCCCCAATATCTATACCCTGCCAGCTGCTTTATAAATCTCCACCATTTTTCATTTCTAAGTCAGGAACTCAACAGAAAAGGAATATAATGCAAGTACCTGTTCCGCTTTTTCTGCCTCAGCCTTGAGAACTGGCTCCTCCACTTCTTCATCATATACACGCTATATATGGAAACAAGTTCATTTTTAAATGGTCAAAACATCATTTGAACTAAACCACACTGAAAGAATTCAGTATACAATAAAAAAAGGATAAATTCAATATATGATAAAGACAAGGAAAAAATGATTACTTAACAAATGGCTATAGCCACTAATCAGAGACAAGAAAAACAAAGATCACTAGTCAATTCACCAAAAACTAAGTTTAAAAAAAAAAGAGACACAACTAAGAGACATGAAAGGAAGTTCAATCTCACTGTTGACCAAAGAGTCACAAAAACAGTAAAATACCAGCTTTCACACCTTTTGTTTAACCTAATACTTAATGCTGATGGGGAAATGACACAGGCTCAAATGTGAGGCTACAGAGAACATCAACTGGTTCTTACCCAAGAGGATTACCCACTCTGTAACAAGGGTTTTAACATTTTGAGCAGTAGGAATGGTAAAGGTAAAAGTTATTTTCATTCTGTTGCTTCAGATGGTTGGTAAATTTTTATTATCCTATTGTATTTATATGAAAATATAGAACACACCCACCAATAACTAGCCAGCAGCCCAGGCATTTTACTGCCCCATGGGCAAAGGCAGTGCAGGCCTCTCTATTCTGAACAGAGCTATCACTCCAGCAACTCATTGTGATTTCCTTTGTTGTTGCATTATTGCTAAACTACTTATTGTTTTTATAAACTCCCAAGGTAAAAGATGCATGTTATAACAGGGGGGTGACACAAATGTTCTGAAATTAGATACTAGTAATGTTTACACAACTTAGTGAGTATACTAAAACCTACTGACTTGCACACTTTTAAAAAAGGGTGAATTTTATAGAATGTGAATTGTATCTCAATTAAAATTAAAAAGTCATTATAAAGATATATGGAAAAAAGATATATTTTAAAATATTTCCTTCCCTATCTCCAACCTAGCCCTTGGAATAGCCAGTTTCAGCTTGGTGTGTGTTCCTCTGTATTTCCTGTGGCTCTCACACAAATATATATAGACTTTTGCATATATTCTGAGTTCTCCCACCCTTCTTGCTTTAAAAAAAAATCCATAGTTCTCTGCCCCACTTTTTCACTTAATGTTCTCATAAGACACTTTCTGGGTCAATGCATATAGATTTGACTCAATCTTCTTAATATCTGCATAATATTCTATGGCATGAACTTAACCATAATTAATTCGACAGTACCCTATTGGTGAACATTATAGAAATTCCAGTTTTTGCTCTTGTAAACAAACGGCTGTAAACATATGCACATATATATTCTTAGATCCTGGCCCTTTATTTCTATAGACTTTCCAAAATAGGATTGACATGTCCAAAGACAAAACTGTTTTTTAATCTTAACAGCTCCTTCCTGATTACTGTCCACAAATCTGTGATAACATAGATGGTCACCAACAAACAATGTAATCAAGTGGCCCAGTTCCCAAACCGTTGCCAGCAGGTTTTATCCACCTTTTTAAAGTATCTATCAATCTGATGAGACAGCATTATTTTTAAATGTCCATATTTTCTGACCCAAGAATCCCATTTCCTGAAATTGAGTTTCATGGGGAGACAGATGGGGGAAAGGCAGAAAACTATACTTGAACAACAATAAAATTCAAAGGTATTTAATAAAAAATAAAATTAATTTTAAAAAATAAATAAAAACAATACACAACTAAAGAAATAGGAAAAAAAAGAAATTCAGTTCCATGAAAAATAATCACAAATGCAAACAATAAGATGTTCAGGGCATCACAATTTACAGTAGAAAGTCACAAACACCAAATTTGTAATTCTATGCAATTCCAATCAAAATGCTAAGAAGATTTTCTGTGGAACTCAGCAAGATAATTCCCAAATTCACACAGAAGAGTAAAAACCCAAGGATAACCATGACAATTCTGAATAAAAAGATGCCATGGGGACTTGCCCTATTGAGAATGTGATACTGGCATACACCAGATTAACATAATAAAAGACAAAGGCCAGAATTACATGTAAGCCTAATTTTACATTCACATAAACACACGTGCACACACATGCATTCATACACATAAGTTGGTGAGGAAAACAGCTACCCCTTAAAGGTCAACCATATGGGAGAAAAAATGAGATCCCTATCTCATACTACACATATATATTCATACACATTCACAAATATACACTCCCCAGGTAAGAAGGATAAAAAGGCAGAGATACAAAAGGGCTCTCACCTAAAAGTTTAGAATTAAGGAAAAAAATGGGAAGTTGGTGTCTTTAAAGCAAATATATCAATATATTAATATCTGTTAATGCAGGATGATGTATATCATCAGTATCTGTGGTTCTAAGCATATAAAATACTTCACTAAAAACTTTAATTTTGAAAGATTGTTAAATAAATTGTGATTTAGCCATACAGCAGAATAAGAATAAAAATTAAGTTCACAAAAGCCTTATAGATGTGTTAAATGCTTATAAAATAATAAACTGATATTAAGAAACATTCAGGCTGTAAACACACACATGTACATAGTAATCTAGAAAAGGTTAAAGTTAAAAAAAAAAGACTAAAAAGAAATATGCCAATATATTTCATGGTTGATTAACTGGAATGGTAGAATTATAGCTGATTATTTTTATAGTTAATATTTCTAAACTTAAAATTTTTTATCTATATCAATCTCTTCCATAGTGAATGTTCAATACTTTTATAACGAGAAAGGAAAATAAAGTCCAATGTCTGCATGGGAGATAGATTTGGAATATATATACCAAAATGTTGAGCAGCTCCCCACTAGCTGACAAAATTTCAGATGTTTCTTCTTTTTCCATATGCTTTTTTCCTAATTGTTCAATAAAGATCAGAAATTGGGAAGTAATTTTCAAACACACAAAGAAACAAATAAGTAATTCTTAAAATTAGGACTTTAAGACATAGCAGCTTCAGAATTTAAATGAGACCATTTTCGCCCTAGCTGGCGCAGCTCAGTGGATTGAGCATGGGCTGAGAACCAGAGGGTGGCTGGTTCCATTCCCAGTCAGGGCATATGCCTGGGTTGTAGGCCAGATCCCCAGTGGGAGCCACGTGAGATGCAATCACACACTGACATGTCTCTCCCTTTCTTTCTCCCTCCCTTCCCTTCTCTCCAAAAATAAATAAAACCTTTAAAATAAATAAATAAATAAATGCCACCATTTTCCCTAAAAGACTGAGATTCACATTGAAGTCTGACAGCACCAACACCCTATTTCTTTTTCGCCTGCCTGTTACTAAAAACTACCTCACAAGACATCAATAGCCCGCAGCTGGAAAGTAAACATAACATCTAAGAAATCAACCAGAAAATCCATAAAACCCATGGAAAATTTTGAAAGTAACCAGGACTGTGCATCTCATGTACTTAGTATACAGCAGATAATCAATGCTAACTTCCACCACCCTTATTCACTCAGAGGTTGATGTGTTTTTTGACCATTTTCAAATCAGGTAGCCATACCCAGAATTTTAAAATATCTTGGGTATTTCCACTCAAAGGATCTTTTTTTCCTCATTTGAGGAGACATGGTAAGAGGTAAATATGGGGAATTAGAGAGAAGGGGACCAGGGACAACTGTTTCTAAACAGATTACATACATAGCCCTATTCCTTTTCATTTATGTGCTCTTTCAGTCATTGATTCAAATGAGTCCCTATATTCACTGAGTCCCTATATACCAGGTTTGTGTTGAGCCCAAGGAATAAAACAGCAAAAATATGGGGTTTGATTCAGTTAGGGAAATTCGCTGCACATCAACAAACGTAAAATTATAATCTTGCAAAACGCTACCGAAGAAGTTATTAACTAGGTCAATTTATGTTTCAAGACAAAATTCCTAAATTAAAAGATTAATTAAGAATTATGTCCCCCTTACCTAAGAAAAAGAAGATAAAAAAGATGAACAGTGAAAGGACAGCAAACTCACAGTTAGTTACAACCACACCTAAAACAAAAGCAAACTAAGAGGACAGCTAGATCAGGAGTGAACCATAGAAATGAAGATCACATGGAGGGTTAGCAACAGGGGAGTGGGAGAAGAAGCGGGGAGAAGGTACAGAAAATAAGTAGCATAGATGGTAGGTAGAAAATAGATAGGGGAGGGCAAGAATAGTATGGAAATGTAGAATCCAAAGAACTTGAGACACGTGGTCATAAACTAAAGGGAGGGAATTGTGGGGCGGGGGTGTGCAGGGTGGAGGGGAATGAAGGAGGAAATAGAACTGTAATGGCATAATTAATAAAATATATTTTTAAAAAAGAATTATATCCCCTTCTGTTAACATATTGAAGCATTTTGTTAATTAGCATTTCTCCTCCTTCAGAGTCTCCTCTGCAGCCTTTACTAAAGGTACTAATTTCTCTTGCCCTACAAAGTCCTATATGCTGTTCAGTTTCACCAATTCCATAATGCAGTTTACAATCTTGTAGCTGCCTCTGAGGTTAATTACTAAAACTCAGAAACCTACCTGACTTTGAATGTCATCCTAATAGACCATGAAACTAAATGGCACCAATTACTCAAGCCAGAATTATTATACATGAGTACCAATGTCAGGATTTGAAAAAAATACATAAAGACCCAAATTACTGCCAAATATAATAAGATCAGCCTATAGATATTTTGAGGGTTTTGGGTGTACTCTCAACATCATCATATTATACAGGTCTAGGAGGCGGTTAAATTTGGCAGTGGCCAGACTCGTCCAGAGGGGAATTCTGGCTACAGACTGGAAAGGGAAGAGACATACAGAACAGATGGATGGATGGAAAATGAGAATTCAAGAAGTAAAAAGAAACAAAGAGCAACTACCAAAAAAATCAATAAAAACAAAACACACACAAACCTAGATCATGGAAAACTCACAATCTAAGAAAACTTGTACAAAAAAGAAGAGCCAAAAAGAAGACCTGAAGACTATGATTCAGAAAAAGAAGTTTATGCTGCTCCTCAAATCAAGTATCAATCTGGTACCGATATAGGGCCAATTTGGTATAGACTCTTTGGGCACAAAAGAAACCTCCCGACTTTATTCCTTGCCCAGTCTAGGGCTGCAACCCTGACTGCAGAGAAGAAGTGCCTGATCCAGCAGAATGAGATCAAGTATACACATTTAAAAGGACACCAAATTTAGCCTGATGAAAAAGTGATGGGATTACATATACCAGTAAAGACAACAGTCCTGTAAACTAGCTCTTCCAGTGAGAAAGATGCTCAGGAACAAGCAGAGATAATCTGTGTAGGCAACCAGAATATGACTATAGATTTTACTAGAATACTTGTTATATTTTAAACTTACTAGAAAAGAGATCTCTAAGATCTTTATTTTATGTATAGTTACCCCCCTCAAAAGGCTAGTCATGGCATTTCAACCTGAACTACTTAAAAATGCACATACTACATAAGATACCTGTATAACAATATATGGTATATTCTTAAGAATCCAGAATTGTGGGCTTTTAAAAATCTTGCAATTATCAAAGTATTTTCTATTAATTTACACCTAACAATTTTAGGGAACAGCCAACTTTGTTAATCTTCTTTTCACAGACCAATTAATGCTAATACTAAGGAAGTTAGTCACCCTATGAGAAATATAAATCAGTTTAAAATCTTTCTCTCCACGCTCATCTCTTTACAAGTCTCACATTTACTCACTGGGTTCCAAACCTTACTCCTTTCTATTCTAGAATTACACTATTATGGAACCTTGTGATCTTCTGTAAGGAGAGGCTCTACATAATTTATGTATATAGTCCTAGGACCTAGCACTTAACAGAAATGCAATAAATATAGACAAAATTACACATGGTGCTACAACTCGGTTCAGTTTTCATAACAAAACGTTAATTGAGAATATTACAAGCAAACACGTACATGCCTTTAATATAATTTAATAGAACATAATGGAACCAACAATAATTTTACCCACATATTGGTGGCTCAGAAGACCAGACCAGGTGCTTGGCTCTCTTTACAGAGAGCCAAGGTTTGTTTGAGTGCCATGCAATTCAGCACAACCGCTGACTACTCTCAAAATTAAAAAGGGAATGAGAAAGGCAAGAATGATAAAAACCTAATTGTGTCATTGTTTTTTAAAAACTTTAAAAAACTTTATTATTTTTTAAAAAGGAATTAATCCTAGAGAAAGAAGCTTAAATTACCAAGAACCACCACTTTCATCAAAATTTATAAGGCAAATTAATAATAGATCACATAATATCACAATGACTCTTGGACCTCAAAAAAGCATTATTTTTAAGCCTGATGTAACTACGTAACTCACATTCTCAATGAACTGGGTATTGGACAGCATGAGGAAGTCATTGAAGACATTATGTAGGCGACAATCTGTGGCTTTAGTTTCCCGAATTAGTCCATCTACTTGTTTCTTGATTTCATGGGTCCTAGAGATAGTCTGCTGTGAAAATTCCTGTAGAAACTGTAGTAGCTATTAAAAAAAATAAAGATATCTAAGTATCAATATTACATGCATCTATTCTTTGTGTCAAAACAAAAAACCCATTTCCTTTCACCTTTGTGTGTGGTATGCTAGAATGTACAAGGGATGCTGGTTTTGTCAGTAATAAGGCCAAGAGGCACTGAAAAAATGTTTAGAAAGCTTGTCAAAACAGTGGCAAGTGTCCAATAAGCACTTGCTATTTCACTTCTGGGGGAATTTTTAAAGTCCTGTTTTTCACTCTACAGGGGTCACATACAAAGGATAAAATAACGAATCACTACTTTTTAAAAAATCTTCTTCTTATGTGACTTTGCAATCACAGTTCTGAGCTTCCTGGGCCACCGCCTGAAGAACCCCATTCAAGATTAACCACATACTGACTTGTCTTCAGCCCCACTAGTCCATGGTCCCTCATGGAGTCGCCTCTCTAGCGCCACAGCAATCCCACAGGGCAGGGAAAATTTATCTGCCCCCTTCAGTAAGAGAAGCCTGTCTCTGGATCACAGTCCAATTGGAAGCACTACGGACCGAGGCTGCCAGCCCCACCCTCGCCCAGGGCCCTGCCACAGAGGAGTTTTCGAGGGTGAGTAGGGATATGTGTTATTAAGTAGACGGGTGGCAGCGGACGGTCGGAGGGCAAATCTGGGCTCCAGTCCTCCCACTCGCGGGCAGAGCGTCACCCCAGGCAACCCGCCCATCCCTCCCGCCCAGTCCCTGTGGCCGGCCTCTCACGCCTGCGTCTGCTGCCAGCGACCAGCTCTGGCTGCTCCTGCGGATCTCCTCCACTGACCAGGGCCGCTCCCACACAGGATCGGAAGCCGGCGCTCGTTCCTGGTCCGCGGTCGTCCGATTCTGGAGGAGAAGAAGAGAGGCTGACTTCGGGAAGGCCAATACCCCGGACCCGCCGGGCCCTACCCGGGCCTGCAGCCCTCACCATCCCAGCAGTGCACTTCCGCAGGATTATCCACCGTGAAGACTGCAGCGGCCCAAAACAGGAGATCCCCAGAAGCCCCGTCTCCCTACTCCTGACCAGGTTTCACGTGACTAGGCCGCACGTGACCGGAACCACACGTGACTGGACTGTGGCACCGCTGTTCCGAAGTTGCGCAGTCGCAGATGTAGTAAGAAAGTTTGTACCCCACCTCCCTCCCGGGGGAGGCTGGGATGGGAGAAATAGACAAAAAAAACTGTACTTGAAAAATAACTAAATAAAATTAATTAAAAAAATAAAAATAAAAATAAATATGCACGAGAGAGGAATAAAAAAAAAGAAAGTTTGTAGCTGGCAAAGGACGAGGTCTCTAGTGGAAAGTGGTATTGACGCTAGGGGGCGCTAAAGGGCATGCATCCGCCTGCGTGAATATCAGCAGGAGGGACTTAGGTGGCTATCAGGCTCTGATTCTAAAAGGAGTTTGTGTGGAACAGCTAAACTTGGGGCTTTAGACGTCAGGAATATGGACAGAGGGAGAGCCCTCCCTTGTCACGCCGGTTGCTTGCTGCTGGTTCGCTGCTTGTCGCGGGGTTGGCACACAGGCACTCAGTAAACGGGCAATGATGGACCTGTCTGGTCATCATCATGTTTTGATGCCATGCTGGGTTTTAACTCACTGTATAGGGCTTGCTTAAAATTCGTTATTCTCTGAGTATTCCACCCAAGTTCAAATCCAGTCTAACCGTGTAACAGGCAAAAACCTTTTTTAGTCTGACCCCTGCCAGCAGTCCATCCTCAATTCTCCCAGCTTTCTAGTGCTCAGTGACCTGATGTGTGTCATACTTATTCTAAGTTCTCTGTACTAAGACCCCTCCAGTGACAGACCAACTTACTTTTAAAAATCAAGATGCTACCAGGCTAGTGTGGCTCAGTGGATTGAGCATGGGCCTGTGAACCAAAGGGTCACTGGTTCAATTTCCCATCAGGGTACATGCCTGGGTTGTGGGTGGGGTCCCCAGTGGGAGGAGGAATGCAGAGGGAAGGGAGGGCAGCCATACACTGATATTTCTCTCCCTTTCTTTCTCTCTTTCCTTCTGTCTAAAAGTAAATAAATAAAATATTTTTAAAAAATAGAGAAGTATCTGTTCAAGTCTTTTGTCAAGTGCTGGAAGCAACCTAAGTGCCCATCACTAAATGAATTGATCAAAAAAACATGGTACATTTACTCAATGTAAATGTACTACTGCAGCAGAGAAAAAGAAGGAGCTCTGACCCTTTGTGACAGCATGGATGGAACTAGAAAGTATTATGCTAAGTGAAATAAGCCAGGCAGTGAGGGACAAATACCATATGACCTCACCTTTAACTAAAACCTAAACAAAAGAACAAAGCAAGCAAAATATAATCAGAGACATTGAAATTAAGAACAATCTGACAGGAACCGTAGGGGAGGTGGGAGGGGAGAATGAGAGGAAGGGGGAAAGGGTTTTCAGGAACAACTATAAAGGACACATGGACAAAACCAAGGTGGGGGGGAAGCAAGGGAAGACGGAGGGTTTGGCTGGGGTGGAGAGTAAACACAGACTACTGTAAATTGAACAAAAATAAAATAATTAAAAAAAATAAAGATCCCTGATAACTTCCACTCCTGTGTGCTCCACGGTCAGTAATTTAACCTCCTTGAGATTTCTTCCTTAGTAAAAGTGATGACATTTGTACAGTAGTTAGCTTGGTGCCTTCCATATGGTGAGCATTAAACTATTACTCAGCCAAGAAAGGAAGGAAGGAAGGAAGGAAGGAAGGAAGGAAGGAAGGAAGGAAGGAAGGAAGGAACCTTGCCATTTGCCATATGGTGAGCATTAAACAATACTACTCAGCCATTAAAAAAAAAAGAAAGAAACCTTGCTGTTTGCAACAACACAGGTAGACCTAATTGTGTTATAATAAGTGAAATAAGTCAGAGAGAGAGAGACAAATACATGTGAACAAATGAACAAACAAAATAAAACAGAAACAAACTTGTAGATGCAAAGAGCAAACTGTTGGTTGGCAGATTGGATAAGGTTGGGGTTTGAGTGAAAAAGGTGAAGAGAATTAAGCAGTACAAATTACCAGTTATAAAATAAGTCACAGTAATGTGATATATGGAATAAGGAATATAGTCAATATCATATTAACTGTGTAAGGTAACAGGTGGATACTAGGCTTATAGTGGTGGCCACTTCACAAAGCATATAAATGTCTCATCACTATGCTGTATAATGGAAACTAATGCAACACTGTTGACACTAATGCAACTATAATTGACAAATAAAATTTTTAAATATATTTTATTGATTATGCCATTACAGTTGTCCCACTTCCCCTCCTTCAATTCCCTCTACCCCCCACACCCTCTCCCCCTTCACCCCCCTTTTGTTCATGCCCATGTGTCATAAGTTCTTTAGCTTCTACATATCCCACACTATTCTTGCCCTCCCCCTGTCTATTTTCTCCCCACTGTCTATGCTACTTATTCTCTGTACCTTCTCCCCACCTCTCCTCCTCCACTCCCCTGTTGCTAACACTCCATGTGATCTCCATTTCTGTGGCTCCACTCCTGTTTTAGCTGTCCGCTTAGTTTGCTTTTGTTTTAGGTGTGGTTGTTGATAACTGTGAGTTTGCTGTCCTTTCACTGTTCATCTTTTTAATTTTTTTTCTTAGGTAAGTCCCTTTAACATTTCATATAATAAGGGCTTGGTGATGAAGAACTCCTTGAATTTGATCTTATCTGAGAAGCACTTATCTGTCCTTCCATTCTAAATGAAAGCTTTGCTGGATAGAGCAATCTTGGATGTAGGTCTTTGGATTTCATAACTTGGAATACTTCTTCCAGCCCCTTCTTGCCTGTAGGTCTTTTGAGAAATCCGCTGACAGTCTGATGGGAACTCCTTTGTAGGTGACTGTCCCCTTTTCTCTTGCTGCTTCTAGGATTCTCTCCTTCATTTTAATCTTGGCTAATATAATTATGATGTGCCTTGGTGTGTTCCTTCTTGGGTCCAACTTGTTTGGGACTCTCTGAGCTTCCTGGATTTCCTGGAAGTCTATTGCTTTTGCCGGATTGGGGAAGTTCTCCTTAATTATTTGTTCAAATAAATTTTCCACTCGTGACTGTTCCTCTTCCCCTTCTGGTACCCCTATAATTCAGATGTTGGAACATTTAAAGATGTCCTGGAGGTCCCTAAGACTCTCCTCATTTTTTTGAATTCTTGTTTCTTCATTTTTTTCTGTTCGTCTTTTCTTTCTTCCTTCTGGTCCACTCCATTGGGTTGAGTCCCAGTTTCCTTCCCATCACTATTGGTTGCCTGTGCATTTTCCTTCATTTCACTTAGTGTAGGCTTCATTTTTTCATCTAATTTGCGACCAAAATCAACCAGTTCTCTGAGCATCCTGATCACCAGTGTTTTGAACTGTGCATTTGATAGGTTGGCTATTTCTTGCTCACTTAAAAGTATTGGCTCTGGGGCTTTGATTTGTTCTTGTGTTTGAGCCATAATTTTTTGGTCAGGTCGCACCTGTTTTGTATGAGTGGCAGAGCCTTAGGTGTTCATCAGAGCAGGGCAATCCACTCAACCCAGTTGCTGTGTTGTGATGTTGTATGTGGGGGCAGGGTCCGAGAGGGAACAATGGCACTTGTTCTGCTGTCTCTCAGATTTCAGTCCCCTCTGCCACTTCCCACAAGAAAATTGGGCCCTTCTGGTGCTGGTTCCCATCTGGGTGGGCTTGTTTATGTTCTAGGACCCTGTAGGTCTCTCCAACGAACTCTCCTATGAGGCTGGGAGTCTCTCCCAGCACCTCAGCCCCCACAAGTGTTTTCAATCGGTGCTTTTAGGCTTTATTTCCCGTTTTTGGGACCCTGGGTTGCACAGTCTGTCTTGCTGCTCATTTTTGCCTGGTTTATCTGCATGCAAATGTGTGTCTGCAGTCAGCCAGTGGCCTTGAACGCCTCGCTGGGTCTGCTCATTTCCTCCCTGCCAGGGGTCAGCTAACCCTGAGCTGCCAGCGCACCTGAGTCTGCCAACCATTGCTTTTTCCTGCCTCGGCCCCTCTCCACCAGCCACCCACTCCTTCCCTCTTACCAGTCTGGATGAATGGTTCATTGACTTCTGTACAGTTCAATTTTCTGTCTGTTCTAGTTGTGTTTTTGTTTCTAGATCTATGGTGTTCTTAAATTTGGTAGTGCGAGGAGGTATAGTGTTTCAACCTATGGCTCCATCTTGGGCAAAAGTCTGAAATTTCTTTAAAAACATAGATTTTTTTTTTAAAGAAAGAAGTAAAACTGGCTTTATTGGTACATGATGTAGTTACGTACATTTTTAAAATTTATTTAATTATTGTTCAAGTATAGTTTTCTGTTTTTTACTCCCATCCCAGCCCACCCCCTGCAGTGCTCCCCACCTCCCTCCCATTTTACCCCCCTTAGATTTTGTCCATGTGTCCTTTATACTAGTTCCTGTAAATCCTTCCCCTTTATCCCCTGAAATTCCCTCCCCTATCCCCTCTGGTCACTTTCCCCCTGTTCTCTATTTCAGTGTCTTTGTTTTTATTTTGCTTGCTTGTTTGTTTCATTGTTTAGCTTCCTGTTAAAGGTGAGATTATATGGTATTTGTCTTTCAACACCTGGCTTATTTCACTCAGCATAATACTTTCCAGTTCCATAGATCTTATCAATTCTATCCCCTTTATTTGTCCAACTCTTGGACTTTTTTTGTTTTAGCCTCAGTCACCTCGGTGAAGTCTTTCCTGATTGTCCCAAGTATAGTTTAAGTGCCCCCTCAATTATTTTTATACATTTGTAAAAATATTAATCATGAAGTGTTACACTGTATTGTAGTTTATTTAAATATTTGTCCCCCTTTAATAGCTAACATTTATGAAGTGCTCAGTTTTTAAGAAACACTTGAATACATATTAATTAATTTAATTCTCACAATTACTTGATAAGGTAGGCACTATTATCCCTGGGTTATAGTTGAGAACACTGGGACATGGGCAGTATAAGTAACTTACTCAGGGTTAGAAAATCAGTAAAGAATCAGAGCCAGGAACCA